CAAACAGGACACACCAACCTAAATAACCACCTAAAAAAATTAAAAAAACACACTACAGGTAACTGCCCACACTGCAAACAACCAGAAACCCCAGAACACGCACTCATCCACTGCACACACTACCTAACACATCGAACCGCATTACAAACCACCCTCAATCTACAAGGTTCTTACTCTAGAAGCAATACTAAACCCACAAAATAAACTAGAAAACTTCAAGGCCTTAGGCGTATTCTTAATCAAAACGGAACTAATAAAACGCATCTAAAAACACAATAACCTACCAAATCAAAATCACATAACCAAACAAACATCCACCATACCCAGCTCCCTTAGTTCTCCTCCCAAATCCCATCGGCATCTATTCCAAATCTCAAAATTCCCAAATTCTATATAAGCAACCCCTAAACCCCCCCTCTTGGGTTGCACAGACCACTTTCGCCCCTTTCGGAAACACATTAAATGGCCGGGCCGGGCCCGTGTGCGAAATACGCATCAGTCGGAAAGCGCACGTTAAATCTCCAAAGTAAGTAAGTAAGTAAAGTGCATGTTACACTGATAGACAACAGCTTTGGAGGTCAGAATCTTTACCAGAATGGATTTAAGTACAGAGTCAACAGACGCAGTGCTCAGAAAACATACTGGAGATGTACAGATGCCAACTGCCCATCGTACCTGGTGACACAAAAGGTCACAACCACCCTGCTATCCCTTTTCTGACTGAAGTTGATGCGTTCAAGTTAAAGCTCCATCATCGTGCAATGACTGACAGCATCACGCCTATCCCCCAGATCAATCAAGAAGAAGTCAGCAACTTGAGAAAGAACCCAACAGCTGCTCCTGACGTCCTTCTCCAACACATCCCTCTCTTTGACTCCATGAGAACCAGCATGTATCGACAGAGACATAAGACCGTCCCTAGGCTTCCACAGACATTTGCAGACGTCAACCTGGAGAATGAGTGGGCCACGACTGAAGCTGGAGATGACTTTCTGCACCGTCTAGATGCTGGAAACATTTTGCTGTTCTTCACAAGCCAGAATCTGGAACTTCTCTGTGCAGCAGATGTCATCTTTGCAGATGGTACATTTTCGTCTTCACCTCGACTTTTTTACCATATTTTTGATCTATTTGGACTGATTATTTTGTAATTGACGACAGTCCGGGCATGATCCCTTCAAACCTGGATTTAGATTGAATAATAACCCCCCACACAAGGAATGCCAAATGGGAACCTTTATCGGGTAGTCTGAGTGGTGCTACCACTAATTATACCTGTAATAAATTCATTAACTGATGAGCATCAAGTGAATTACGACAAATACACAATTTGGGGGTTATACCAGAAAACATGGGAGTAGTAATCGTATTATCCACGCAATCCGAAATCCGAAAATGCTTTCACTGCAGGGATACTTTTTTATTATCAAACTATAACAATCCTGGGTATTTCCAAATAACGACATCTGATGAGCTTCCATCGTTCTCCTTGTCTGTTTTATGGGGGCTGAAGAAATTAATTTACCAGCGCCTTTTTGTCAAAAACCTTCATAGATCGCGGGTAACCAATCAGTGTTAAAAAATGCGTGAAACAAATATTTATTTAGTTGTCCTTGCAGACGGTAGCCCAGTCTCTTGTCACGCTCGGTTCATGTTTAGCGAGCAAATCGACTCGCGGCAGCTAGGGAGCCCTATAGCGGTGGTGTTAGACGGCCGAGAAGAAGTCAGAGATTAGTGCCCCTTTAACAACATATGCATGTCTCCACAGATCGACTTCATTATAAAATAATGTAATGTAGCTATTACTTTGAAAAGATTAATTTTGAAAAATATTAACAACTTCACCACTATAGATATGTTAATGTTAACAGTGTCATGTACACTGCTATGATTGTGTCAGCTTAATACCCCATGTTCCTTGCAATAACAAGTCTTTCAGGAAGTCATTGTTTTGAAAACATATACCAGTTTTAACAAATTTATTAAAGTACAGTCGGAAATGCTACAAAACTGCTTTTTGCCTGTTAAAATGGGATATATTTTTTCACAGACTGTTGTTAGTGAAATATCGAATAACTACCGATCGCCCTACCTGTGGTTTGAATTATTTCAGTCACAAGGAGTCCTATCGACAAGTTTACAGGAGACAAATTCGAACTAAAACATGAAGTTCACATTTAATCTAAGTCAAATGATTTCAATCTGAAACGGACTATAGAAATATGCGCACGTGACTCCGTTACAATGATAATAATGTTGTCTTCATAAAACATCTACTCCACACACAATAATCGTTTTGAGAAAATTCTAGATGTGCATCTTCTAAAATGACAAAATGACGCTGCGTTTTTGTTTTGTTAACACTGCTCCCATGATGCATGTTACACTACACTTGCATAGCCATAACCATGGTACACAATATGGAGTCTGTACTGGGAAATGTATACAGGTTCTTTACACTTCAGAGAGATAGAGGGAAACCATTTATTAATTTAGATAAGGTGAATTACCGAACTGCCCATGCTATATGGTTTTCAATTCATACCATCAAGTCTACGATATGACAAGAAAACAAAACAGGTATATGTAGGGGTGGTCTCAAAAATAAAACTGGGGCGTAAGAGGATTTAGACAGCTTTGATACAGGGTGATTAGGCGTATAGTGTACAAGCTCTATGAGCAGAAGGTAACCCTGACTTGTAGTAGAATTTGGGAGGTATTAAAGATACTAATGTTTCCCTGACTGCACTATTGCTCTCCAAGAGATGGGATTTCGCTACACTTCGCGTGGCGATGACGAAGCACTTTTCAGGGGAAAATATTCTACCCTGTCCGTGAGGGCACATTATCTCCGAACCATTCATAACTATCACAGTCAGGGCGTCCAGATAATTTACCTTGGTGACTCATTCCACTGACTACATGTGGCTATTGGCAGATGGTCAAAAAGCACCCATGGTACCATCAGGTAAAGGTAATCGTGTCGTTGTTTTGCACGCTGCAAACCAATGATATGGGGCTTAATGATGGATGTTTTCGAGGCGAAAAAGAAAACTGGTGATTTTCATAAGGAAATTATAAGAGGTGATGTGTTCATAGACTGGTTGGAACTTCAGCTATTGCCCATTTTAAACAACGTCAGTGTGATTGTCATGGATAACGCCAGTTAATATAACGTCCGGGAATCAGATACTGTCGCCCAAACCATGAGTAGTCTGAAGGCGACCATACAGGAATATATGACATTGGTCGACTTCAGACCATATGAAACGAAAGTTCAACTCATGGAGAAAATTCGGCTGAATAAGAAACCAGTAAAGTACAAGACATATGTGCTGGCGACACAACACGGTTACGTTGTCTTACCTACGGCAGTCAGACATTGTGAGCTCATCCCTGTTGTGTCTATCTTGGCTAAATGTACAGGGTTCTTGGCAAGACATAACACAACATTCAAAAGTACAGATTCATATACGTCATCAGCGGAGATAAATGCTACCTCAAGAAACCATCCGTAGAACAAATACTTCTGGATTCCAAAACCGCAACCTTCCAATACGCATCCCGTTTTATAGCTCTTAACTAGTCCATCTTGTTTCCAAGCAAATATAATGCAGTACATATCCTAAATTGCTACCTTATCAACGCATGTCAATTAAGTACAATAACAGCAATATTTTGAGACCACCCCCAACTCGGTGACATTTGCACCTGGGAGAATGCACGGGACTGTGTGAGGTCATCACCTCGGGACAGGTGTTAGGTAATTACCTCAGGTTATAGGCCATTTCATACTACATGACAACACACAACTATATTCTTTGTTTCTCATCATTTTACCGTGTAAAAGTACATTTTAAGGGTAATCACAGTGACAGTTAGGACAGGCTAGATTAGGGCAATTCGCGTTATTTTGATATATGCTCTTTTTATAGTCCTATGACTCATATTTATTAAATGAAACCAGAAAAGCAGTTTTCTAGCATTTGCGACTGTACTTTGTACTTTTGGGTTACACATGTGCGCTTTTTGACCTGCATTAATATAGGTAGGTATTCTACAAAATTCCTTTGCGCCGTGTGAGTTATATTGTCTTCTACTATAGTTATATGTAGCTATGTCAGAAAGATGGAAATGTCTGTTACGATGCTTGCAAGCATTTGATATGTTTCAAATCCTAATTCGCTTTACGATTTGCCTTTTACATGAAACCTAGCTCAACCACGCTTATTCATTTTCAAACGATTTACTCGCAATAACTTTTAATAAGAGGCCCTAGCATTATCTTGCAAATTCGTGGTGTGTGATTGCATATCATTGTCACGTGTGTACTTTGCATAAAGAACAAGGCAGTATTTATGGTCGTCGAACGTTGGTCCGACGTTTTGGCAATCACATCAGGCTCCGATCAAACATCCCTTCGCCATTCTTTTGATTGGGAAGGCATTGTCGACGAAATGCCTCTTTACAAGCCCTATTTAGCAATGTCATCTCTTTTACGAATTAATCCAATGTAAGTGCATGCAAGTGTTGACCAGTTTCGCGATAGTGGCAGGCGGATGTTCGTGAGAAACAAACGTATCGACATTACCATTTTGAGGCCTAACAAGCCTCCATTATCCAACCTACAGTACACACCATAATTCTCCAATTCATGCTGCATTTGATCTTATGTTCCACCCATTTCATATTGCACCATATATCACCGATACAGCATAACATGCTCCACCTCTCATCTGAAGTGTAGGCTATATATATGCCGATCACATCTTGTTTATAAGCGTAACGAAGCTTTTCAACTTTGACACAACTGTATCAGTACGCCAGGTAAAAATATTTTATTATAAGATTTAATAATTATCAAGAATTTCTTTCGTTATAAGCAATCAATAAATGTTCGTTGGAATATACACAAAGTATAATAGACTGTAAGAAACAATAACCATTGCAGTCATGGAACAGAACTACTTCTTTTCGAACTCACTTCCGTTACACGCACCTGTTGGAGATACGGTTAGTGAATGTGACAATTTGGGCGAGACATGTCAAAGTGGGTGGGAATGAACTGGTCATCTAAATGACATGGAAGAGAACGAATCATATGAAGATAAATTAAGAGATATCTTTGATTTTTACGACGAAGATCATGACGGATATATAGCCGTGGATCACGTACAGAGTGTGTTGACGAAGGAACAGTTTGGTGTGGCTCAACCTCAGGTGTGTTGGCACAGTAAACATTCTACCATTTACCGTTTCAGATGTACTCACACGTATTCGCGAAATTTGTGTTTGTTTCGGTATAAACACAACAAACGTGATAGGTAAACGAACCCCGTTTATTATTCGAGATATAACCTATATAGTACAATCAATAGTTATGATGTTGTCATCTGCTGGTCTTTGCATATCTCCTCAATCAAACAAGCAGGAAGAGGAAGCGGTCCAGTAATTGACATTTGAAGTAATTCGTTTTTAGATAAAACAGTTTAAAAAGTTAAAGTCATAATATGACCACATTGGTAAATTTAAATAACATGATCCCTCATGTACAAGAGAAATTGGACGAATGATACGTTAATATTATCAATTTGTTTTTTCTCGTACACAGATGTTAGCATTTGCTAATGATCAATATGTGATAAACATACCTCAAACAAATGGAAACATGCTCTGTCTTTTTAACATGTTTAATCTTCTTATATTTTGTTTTTAGAGCATAACTCACAAATGATTCTGTACTTCTTTGTGAAACTTTGTTTACACATCAGTCATGTGTTGAACTGTTGCCTTTTTATGAGAACTTATGGAAGTTTTGGGATTTTTGGTGTCAATGGTAACACACGTTGGATGATGGGTATTATGAAGGTACAGTAGAGTTCACTTCCAGAGCATAACACACGAACCTTTCAATACATCTTGATGAAACATACATCTTGAAGAACATCAAGCAATTTGGGAACTGGTGCCATTTGCTATTCAGGAGTTTTTGAAGTATTAAATTTTGCATTTTTAAGGCAACAAGTTGGTTCAAATAAGGGTAGGGCTCATATCTGGAATATAACTCTGTGATGACTTTGGTAGCTACAACAAACACTCGGCTTTCCGTGGAAAGGGTGTATTCTCTTATTACATGTAAATACACTCAGTCAAGTGCAGTCGGCAGCCATGTGGTCTGCTAGCGCACAACACACACACTTCCGGCACTGTTACACGTGCACACTCATTTATCTAGATACATCGTATGGATAAAGCGAGTGACTGGTTATATGTTACTTAAACGCCACATTCCCCCCCCCTTTAGTTAACAACTTGTTGTTTAAGCAATTAATGAACAACGTTACTAACTCATCAGTCACTGAGAAAGAAATAGTGATCAACTCAAAGAGTTCAATGGAAATCTTCCCATAAAAGTTCACTGAAGTATTCTTGAACACTGAAATTCACAAACTAATGTTCTTTCACTTGGTTTCTGAAATAAATGAAATGAGCATGCACCTTAAAGTTCAATCTCCTGAAAAAGAACACTCAACAATGAAATACAGTAGTTTACAGATTTAGTCTATCTGGAGCTCGACGCTCATGAGTCGAACTTCTCTACTCAACAGATGAGGACAGATCTGGACTAGTGTCACATATAGGTAACGTGGTACGCGGAAATGGCTTGTCTGCGGGTGATACTGGTACAGAACTAGGCTCTGGAAGCTCTGGTGAGAAAGTGATGGCAGACTTCGACACTTCACTTTCTTCCAACAATTCTGGGGATTCTGGTTTCACAGCATCGGGGTCCACATAACGCTTGATAAGGTGATCTACATGTTGCTTCGCAATTTTGTTATTTTCCAAGCTGACCTTTGAAGGAGATAGGACCTGTACACTGGATTATCTCCCCTGGTAACCATTTAGGCTTACCAAGAAAGTTCCTGACGTAAACAAGATCACCGACAGCGAACTTTTGTGACTTTGTATGTCTATTGTGGTAGTTTGCCTGCTTCTCTTGTTTATGTTGAACTTTAACACCGATGTCAGGGTGAAGCAAGTCAAGATGGAACGTGGACGTCTTCCCAATAGTAACTGCGCTGGAGATGACCCAGTCGTAGTCTGCGGAGTGTTACAATACCTGAACAGGAATTTTGACACCCTGGTGTCGATGGAACCGCCGCTGAGCTTCATAAATCTCTGTTTGAACGTCTGGACGCTCCTCTCTGCCAGTCCATTGGACGCTGGATGGTAAGGGGATGTACAGATGTGTTGAATACCATTTCTCTTGATGAATAAAGCAAATTCATCACTTGTGAAACATGTCCCATCATCAGACACTATTGTCTCAGGTAGACCATGAATGGAAAATGTTCTCCGAAGACACTCTAGAGTGGCACTCGTAGTTGCACTGTTGACAGGGAAAACATCCATCCACTTAGACTGAGAGTCTACGATGATGAGGAAAATTTTACCTTGTAAGGGACCTGCATAATCAATGTGCAGACGTGACCATGGTTTGGACGGCCAGTCCCACGGATGTAACTTTGCTTCGCAGGGTGAAGAAAGACTCTCCTGACATATGGAACAAGTCCTGACCTTGTTCTCCAGCTCTGAATCAATGCACAGCCACCATACAAGACCTCTAGCAATAGCTTTCATCGTCGCTATTCCAGGGTGAGCTTCATGCAACACATCTACACACTGTTTCCTACCCTGAGGTGGAACCACTACTCTGTTACCCCACAGATTTATAACCATCCTGAACACTTAGCTCAGTTTTCTTCTGAATATATGGCTTTAGCTCTGTATCTGGCTTCATGTTTTCTGGAAAACCACATCCACTACTTTCTTCACTCTAGCTAACAAGGGATCCTTCCTTGTCCAAAACTGAATTTGTCACACATTCACTGGGAATTCTGCCATTTTCTCGAGGAGCATTATTGTGTCTCCTGGAACAGGCGGCACAGACACTGAGGTTTGCAGAGGCAATCTGCTCAAACAATCTGCATTTGCTAACTTGGAACCTGGTTTATACACAATACTGTAATCATACGCTGCCAGCATCAAGGCCCATCTCTGGAGTCTGGCTGGCGCCATCACTGGAATGCCTTTCTCTGCATCAAGTAGACCCATGAGGGGTTTGTGATCTGATAACAGCTGAAATTTCCGTCCGAACAAATACTGGTGGAATTTCTTTATGCCAAACACTATTGCCAGTGCTTCTTTATCAAGCTGTGAATAGTTCTTTTCTGCAGGTGACAAGGAATGTGACGCAAACGCCACAGGCTTCTCAGTACCATCTGGCATGATGTGTGACAGGACGGCACCTACTCCATATGGAGAAGCATCAGCTGCTAAGTTGAGAGGAAGGTCTGGATTGTAGTGAGTCAAGACCTTACATGAAGACAAGTGAGATTTCATCTTTAGAAATACTGTATCATGCCTCTTGGTCCATGACCATGGAGCGTCCTTTTGTAGTAACCCATGTAGTGGCACTAACGTCGTGGAGAGATTTGGCAGGAATCTCTGGTAGTACTGTACCATCCCAAGGAATGACTTTAACTCTGTCACATTCTGAGGAGCTGGTGCGGACACAATAGCGATGACCTTCTCCTCTAATGGATGCAGTCCCTGTGCGTCAATCCGGTGTCCCAGGTAAGTGACTGAGTCTTTCTTGATGTGACACTTTGAAGTGTTTAGAAGCAACCCTGCTTTCTGCAATCTGTCAAGGACTTTATTCAGATTCTTGTTGTGTTCTGCATCATCAACACCCGTGACGAGAATATCATCGAGGTAGACGCACACATGTGGCAAGTCGCTGAGAAGACATTCAATTGTCCGCTGGAAGATCGCAGGAGCTGCCGACACCCCAAAAGGTAATCGTTGGTATTTGTATAGACCTTTATGGGTGTTAATTGTGGTGAGTTTCTTGAAATCATCGTCCAACACTAGCTGCTGGTAGGCATTACTCCAGTGTTCGAAATACCTGCCTGCCTGACCGTCCGAGACGGGTTGATTTCAACTTGGGCTGCCAGATTTTCAAATCCCCCTGCCCGACGGTCGGGTTATATTTCATATGTGACAATATTCTAAATATTTCCCGATGATAATCATTAATTCACATGTAAAGATGAATGATAAAATGTAACCAAAAAGAAATCCCGTTAGCTTATCCTGAGAAACATATGATTATAGTGGGCAGGCAGGTTTTCGTCAGGGCTGGCAAGTATTTCAGCTAGCCAGTCCTGTGGTCTGGCTGACATTTTTGGGAGTTTCATACCCTGATTACTCATGTCCAATTTCGTAAACTTGTGACCACCTGAGAGTGATGCAAATAAGTCCTCAATCCTATGTATTGGGTAACAATCTGGTTTAGCTACCTGGTTGACTGTTAGTTTGTAATCTCCACATATACGCACTGAAGACTGATCGGACTTCAACACTGGTACGATTGGTGCTGCCCACTCTGAGTACTGCACTGGTTTTATGACACCCTGCTGTTCTAATCGTTCAAGTTCATTCTCAACCTTGTCCCTCAAGGCATAGGCCATGTTCCTGTGCTTGTAGAAGCGTGGTTGTGAAGGAATAGATACGTTAATCTTCACTTTTGTATCTTTCAACTCACCAAGTTCCTCCTTGAAGACATCGAAATGAGAGTTAAGGATACTTTGCACATCATCACAATCAACTCAGAGGATTGTTCCCCAGTCTAGACGAACATGTCGCAGCCAGCCGCGACCAAAGAGATTAGCTCTTCTCCCTTTCACTACAATCACTTGCAGTTCTGCTGTCTGTTTGCCGTAGTTCACTTTCACTGAGCAAGAACCAAGCAGAGGTATCTTCTCACCTAGGTAAGTACGTAACAAGGTATGAGGAGGTCCTAGTTTGGGTGGATCTTTCCCTAACGATCTGTAAGTGTCCTCATTAATCACTGAAAATGTTGCACCTGTATCCAGCTCCATGCTTAATGGCTGACCATTAAGTGCTAAATCAATAAACATTAGTGGTTCCTTCTCTCTCCTCCCAACAAAAGGTGTAGAGCAAGTCTCCATCTTGTAAATGTCATATACTTCACTTTCAACATCATCATTGTTTTCAGGAGTGACCTGATTTGTCGCTGAACGCTTGTGCTGACCCCGACTTCGACCTTGACCTCTAGATCGATACGAGCCACGTCCACAACGAGAACCTTTACTATTCTGTGACTGACGACATACCTTCCCAGTGTGGCCAATCTT